CTGGGCCTTACATTAGGCACCTCCTGTTGTACTGAATAGAGCTTTCTTATTTATAAGAAGTGACAGTCTGGCGAGTGCATCAGTCTGTGTGTAGGCTGCAGGGAAGGAGAGGCTCATTTGGCTTTGTTGATGCTGGCAGGACTGGAGCCTGCATAAATGACCACTAGATTCTGAAAGAATCTTGGTATAATGGGATTGGCAACTTACTTCTATTCCAACTTAAAACTTCACTCCTCTACCTGAACTTTTTGCTTGACATAGTTGAGGAATATGCTGGAAATCTGTAATTAGGTGAGGGTAGTTAAGAAATTTCTCCATGAATGCTAGTCTACCATTTGTCTTCACTTCAATACTAATTACACAGATGTTAACAGTATTTTTTTAATGAGGCATTTTGGGATTTTTTTTCCTCCTTGTAGTTAGAATATAGTTTTAATGTATTCAAAATGCACATAAATATAGAGGAGAAATTATCCAAAAGAAACTAGAATTTATACAAATGCTAATTAGGATTGGGCATCTTGAAAAATAAAGCAAATCTTCAGTGATTAAAAGAGCACCCAGAAGACATTCTAACTCGGCAAAAATCTCCCTACATTAGCAACATTTCATAGTGTTTTTCACAAATGGAAAGGTAAAATTCAACACCAATCTTATCAGTAATTATTGCCAGTGAAATCTTACCAATCCCAGCTTTGTCAGAGAGAAAGGAGGATGCTCACAGCACAGGGCCCATCTGCCCTGAAGCAGAGAGGGCCAGTGGCAGGCCAGGGCTGGGTCCCTGGCTCACCAGTGCTACCTACTAGTCGTGGGGCCACTTAACTTCCTGTTGCCTCAGAGTCCTCATCTTTAAAATGGAGATGATAATCCTTAGTCTTAGAGACAGATGTTGTGAGAATGCTTGAGATTGTATGAATGCGCTTCCTAACGTGTAAAACACTCACAAAATATAAGGTATATTTGTTATAGAAAGCAGCATGGAAAATGGCTTTAGATAGCTATCCAGAAATTAGTATTTCTCTTAAATACTTCAATCTTAGANTAAAATGGAGATGATAATCCTTAGTCTTAGAGACAGATGTTGTGAGAATGCTTGAGATTGTATGAATGCGCTTCCTAACGTGTAAAACACTCACAAAATATAAGGTATATTTGTTATAGAAAGCAGCATGGAAAATGGCTTTAGATAGCTATCCAGAAATTAGTATTTCTCTTAAATACTTCAATCTTAGACTAACTACCTATAAATGTATTCCAAGAATCACATTCCTATGAGAAATTCCTTATTTAAAGAAGTTGACATTGGAGTGAGAGGGTGGCAGGGAACTCTGTGACAATTTGGGAGAATACTGCAAATGGTATCCCTTTCTTGGAAATACTGTAGTTAGTAAACCCAGAGCTCCCCAAATTTAGTGCACAAGAAAATCTATTCTTTTTCTTTCTTTTTCATATAATCTCCACTCTCATCCCAAGGAACTAGTGTTGCACAATACAACACACATCAGAAAATTCTTAGAAAAACATATTATCATCTGGTTAAAATAAGTAAATGTTTATAAACTATAATGTGACTGGGGAGGGGTGTATAAGTAAAATAAAAACTTGCATACCCAGCTGCTGCAAATTGCTGGGTGGGATGCAGCTGGATTCGGGGGCTGGAGTCAGCGGCGAGGCCGCGCTGACGCGTGCTTGTGTGACCGCAGAGGGCCTCAGCGGATCCTGGAAGGAGGGCGGCTGCGTGCCGTCCAGCACCGGCAGCAGCGGCTACTGGAGCTGGGGCGCCCCCA